GCCGCGCGGGGCAGCTCACGCACTTCTACCAGGTAAGGGCCAGCGGGGGCCCGGGGTTGTGTGTGTGTGTGTGTGTGTGTGTGTGTGTGTGTGTGTGTGTGTTCTCAGGACACAATCCCCAAGCGGGATGGGGACTTGGGCGTGTCCACGCACTTCTACCAGGTAAGGGCCAGCGGGGGCCCGGGGTTGTGTGTGTGTGTGTGTGTGTGTGTGTGTGTGTGTGTTCTCAGGACACAATCCCCAAGCGGGATGGGGGCTTGGGCGTGTCCACGCACTTCTACCAGGTAAGAGCCAGCAGGGGCCTGGGGTTGTGGTGTGTGTGTGTGTGTGTGTGTGTGTGTGTGTGTTCTCAGGACTCAATCCCCAAACAGGATGGGGGCTTGGGTGTGTCCACTCACTTCTACCAGGTAAGGGCCAAAAGGGGCCCGGGATTGTGTGTGTGTGTGTGTGTGTGTGTGTGTGCGTGCTGTTCTCAGGACTCAATCCCCAAGCGGGATAGGGGCGTGGATGTGTTCACACACTTCAACTACATAAGGGCCAGCAGGCCAGCAGAGTCCCGGGGTGTATATGTGTGTGCGTGTGTCCATGCTTTTCTCAGGACTCAATCCCCAAGCGGGATGGGGCTTGGGTGTGTCCACTCACTTCTACCAGGTAAGGGCCAGCAGGGGCCCTGTGTGTGTGTGTGTGTGTGTGTGTGTGTGTGTGTGTGTGTGTGCTTGTGTGTGTGTGCTTGTGTGCCGTACTCAGGACTCAATCCCCACAGAAAGGGGGTTTGGGTGTGTCCACGCCCTCCCCTCTGCCCCCGCCGATCTTAGGGACCCTCATCACTTCCCTGCCTCCCGAGTCAGAGGTGGCAGCCCCCAGACACCCTCATTTTCCCGACCCCACGGCTTCCCCTTCCCTGTCTGCCTACCGGGATGTGCCTGCGTCCACCTCGCCCTCACTGAGCCCAGCTACTGTAGAAGGGAGTGGGAAGGGGACCCTCCCTGCCCATCCTTGTCCCGGCTCCGAGGTCTGGCTGGATCCCGCCCAGGTGTGCCCCGTAGGCCCCAGGCACACCTGTGCACCCCCTGGCCCCTGGGTCCCCACGAGAAGCTTCCCCAGGCCCCGCCCATCCCAGGACACGCCCCTTGGGCAGAGGATCCCTGTGGCTCCACCGCCAGGCGGGGAGAGGAGCTGGGGGTGTGGGGGGGGGGGGAGGGAGAGGAGTGGACAGCAGTGGGCAGTGGGGCAGCCCTGCCACTCCCGCGCTGACCACGGGCCTCTCCGGTCTGCAGCAGGTCCAGCAGCACCGGACACAGTACCTGGACCAGACGGGGGCCGTGCCGCGCGTCCCCTACTTCATGCTGCCCGTGAAGGAGGAGGATCGGTACCCCCCTCCCCACCGACCTGTGAGTGCCCGCCCTCCAGCCGTGCTCCCCACCAATGGGCAGGCGCGGGCACCAGCTTGGGGTGCAGAGGGTGGTGGCCAGAGGCCCCGGCCGCGGCTTTGGGGGCAGGACGAGCTTTGGAGAGATGCCAGGGAGCCCGTGCGGGGAACCTAAGGGTATTATCCCGCCCGGATGCTCGGGGTGGGCGGCATACCTCGCCGGGTTGGCGGGAATCTGCAGGCGGCTCCCCCCGGGGGGCCTTGCGCGACCCTCGCTGAGGGCGGAGGAGACGGCGCGGAGCGGCGAGGAGCTACTGCCCTCTCGTGGACGCAGTAAGCACTGCAAGGGCGGGATCGCGTCCCCTCGCTCAGACTCGGAATAGGGGCTCCGAGAACCTGTCCACGTCCTCCAGAGTTCTGTCCAGGGAGCGCCAGGCCCCCTGGCCCTCCTGCTTGCAAATGGGACAGCTCCTTCTCGCCGGGGAGCGCAGCTCTGCCCGCCTCGCTTACCTGGGCCCTTGGTTTCCGTCCCTCTCTCCTGACACCAAGTGGGTGAGCTCTGGGGGAGGGGTGGGAGGGCTCCAGAGGACAGTGCTGAGTTTCCTGGTCCATGCAGACCCCGTTTTCTGAGAACCCGAGGATGCACCGTCCTAGTTATTATTCATTTATTTACTTTGGTTTGGTTTGAGGTCACACCTGGTCATGATCAGGGTTACTCCTGGCTCTGCACTCAATCAAGAATTACTCCTCGCAGTGCTCGGGGGACCATATGGGATGCCAGGGGTAGGACTCAGGGTGGCTGCATGCAAGGCACATGCCCTCCCGCTGTATCTCTCTGACCCATCCCGGTCCTTGTTACTGATACAGAAGCAACCCCTGGCATTTAATGGAATGGATGCAACCGTCTTTCCAGCTTCTTACGGAAGGACAGATGGGGCCACAGAAAAGGGAAACTGAGACCTTAATGACACTGAGCCTCTGGAACTTAGGCAGGGGACAGGCTGGGCAGGGGACAGCTTGTGCACGTGTTGTTGGAGGGTCCCTGGATGGAACTCAGTCCCCTGAAGCCAGACGTAGGACTTGAGGTGGATATGTCCACTCCTTGGGTGGCTTCGAAGTCACTGTGTCACCGGAGGTACAGGGACCCCCTCCCCGGGACAGATGTTCTCTCTGAGGTGCTCTGGGCGGGGGCAGCGTGGCCAACTCTGCTCCCCCTCCAAGGCACCCACAGCCCACACTGCTACCAGCAGCTGTACACCTGGCTCAGAGGACCCGCCAGGTGGCTGCAGTGGGGCTCAGTGCTCATGCTCGGTCCTTTCCTTCGTGGACTCTGCAGCCTGGGAGTTCCTTGCCCCAAGTTCCATCACCAACACTGCTGTCATCATCAAATCATCTCCACCACCATCATCAGAACCACTACCGCCACTCACCCTCATCACCCCTGTGCCCGCTTACCCTCCTTCCAACCCCACCATCCCTGCTCACCCCCACCCCACCCCCACCATCCCCACGATCCTTATCCCCACTCCACCATCCCCGCTCACCCTCCTCCCCACCCCCACCATCCCCTCTCACCCCCCTCCCCATCCCTACACTCTCCATCCTCCCATCATCACTACAGGGAGCACCAACCCCATCATGACCACCATCTCCATCACCATCATCACAGCCCCCACCATGCCCATAATCCTCATCCCCGGTCACCACCCTCCCATCATAATCACCACCGTGATCCCCGTCACCATTCCTGTCATCAGCCGTCATCACCCGTCACAGTCACCATCACAGTCACTATCTCAGCAGCAGAAGCAGTAGTCCTGTCGCCACCCCTGTTGGCATTGACACCACCCCCCTGTCACCGCCGTTCTGCTGACCAGTCCCATCACTGTCACACCAACCTCACCATCATGATCGTCACTGTGATCAATGACCCGAGCCCCTTCTCCATCCGCGTTTCTCCTCACCTGTCGAGTGCTCACTGCTTGCCCAGCACTAGGCTAAGTTCGTGCCTTACTCCTCAGGGTTTCCAACGCCGCCAGGGCTGGAACACCCCCGTCCCATCCCCCACCCCACCCACACACATACCCTCACAGGGAACTCTTAGCAGGAGCTGAGCTAGGATGTCCTCGCCGGGTCTCGTGCCCCCGTGGCCTCTTCCTGTGGACTGTGGCCCAGACATGGCCCATCCTGGTCTCTGGCTGTGGGCGACCGTGGGACTGGCGTGACCCATCCCTCCAGGAAACAGCCTCACGCCAGTTCTGTCCTCGCCCACAGGCCTCCCCTGACCGCGAAGGAGAAGTGGCACCTTCTAAGAGTGTCCCCTGAGAACCTGCACACCTACCAGACGTTCCCGTCGGGGAAGAGGGTGTCCCCGCAGGAGCGAAGGAGAAGAAACCTGTACTTTGAGTTCCGGGCATGACGGTCACGAGCCCCTTGGCTGTGGGGAATAAAATCTAGCCCAGACCTTCCGGTTCTCCTCTCTGACACAGGCACTAAGCTCCCACGGTGTGGGGTGAAGGGCCTGGGGTCACCCCCTCTGGGGTTCTGGCCTGGGACTGAGAAGTGGGGGCTCCTGCTTCCATAGGCACCAGGGAAGAAGTCCCATGAGCCGGGCGGTGAGGGCTGTGCCCCCAGCACTGAGAACCACAGGGGTCTGGGAGAGACTGGCCGGGCCTGCCCGCGGCTCCTGAGTCCCTCCTGGCTCCTGAGTCCCGCTGGGTCCCAGAGGGGTTGGAATGACCCAGACGTGGGGTCCCCACAGAGCCCGGGTGCCCAAGGGAGGAGGCCGTGGGAGAGCAGCCACCTGAAGGTGGTGTAGGTGGGTTAACTTGGCCTCGGCCCAGGATTGGGGTGGGGACCAGCATGGGGCCACACTGGAGGGAGAAACTGTCAGGAGCCTCCAGGGTTGGGGTGTCTGCCCCGGTCCCCCACCTTGGGGGGTTGGGTACTGCAAGTGGGTGACCCCTCACAGTGAGGGTCTGGGCTGGGCACCTCAGGGCAGGTATGGACCCATCCCTAGGAATTCTCCAACTTTCCAGAATCTTCTGGATAGGGTCTCCATCATTCATGGGGTTTCCTTGTCCCTGAATGGGCCAGCCAGGGCTTGAGATAAGGAACCCCCTTGGGAGTCAAGTCCAGGGGGGTGAACGACCCTACACCCCTAAGCCAGAGTCAGTGGGATAATCCAGGGGTGCAGCTCCTCTCAGAGCACCCAGAAGATTCCCCTGGCTTCCAGAATCTCTGTCCAAGCTGCACCCCAAGTTTGGTCCAGTGGAGGCCAAATCCATTGCGGGCTGAGTAGCACCGTGAGCGCAACCTGGCCACTGTCGTGCGGTTCACTGAGGGAGTGTAGAGAGGTGCCCTCCCTCCGTGAACAGGGGGCCCTAAGAGCCCCACTCTTTGTGTCGGGGCCGGGACTTCCTGGAAGACAGGCTGGGAGGGGAGGACGGCCCTCCACGGGAGTTCCAGTGGACCTCAGCCCTGGCCTGGACCGGCTGGACACCCCATCCCCAGAGCACTGGCCTCCGCTCACTTGCATCAGGCAGAACTTATTTCTTTTAGTTTTATTATGGTAACACGGGGAGGTGTGGGAAGGGCAGGGAGCAGGGAGGCGGCCCCAGGAGCTGAGGATGTGAGCTACAAGTTTCTGCCCCCAGCGGCCTGCTTGGACCCCGTCAGCATCCCCAGAAGTGGATCCGAAAGGAGCTGGAAGAGAATTGGGGGAACCACCCTGGAGCCTCCCTTCCGGCTCCCGGCTGTGCTCGCACCCTTGACAGCACCCAGCCCTCTGGGGGTGCGGCCCAGCTCCCAAACCACTGCCCTCTGCTAGCTTTAGGAGGAAGCCACAGGGTGTCTGGGCCTGAGGGAAGAAGGCTGGTGGGGGAACCCCAAGGAGGAATCAGGTCCAGCTTCAACTGTGTGTCAGGCTGTCAGGAAGAGGAGGGTCCCTGGGACTGGGGTCCCCAGCGCATGCCCTCTTTTAGGGGTCTACCTAAGGCCAGCCTCGGGCGTCATTGGAAGGGGATTTCTCTCCTGCCAGGGGCTGGGGAGGGTGGGGGGTGCGGGCCCAAGCAGGGAGAGACCTGGGGCCACAGAGAGAGAGAGTGGGGGTGGTGGGAGCCCAGGTTCCTGCCAGGAAGTGGGTGCAGGAGGAGCTGGGGCAGCAGAGATGGCACGGGGAGGGGGAGGGGGTGGGGGGGAGGGAGACGGGAGAGCGGGTGGGGGAGGGGCAGAGGCGGGAGGGACAGTCCCTCTGCCTTGTTCACCCGCCCTGAGCGATGCCCTTTGAGCTCCCAGCACCCCCAGGCTCAGGCAGACGGGGTGCAGGGTGCGCCCTGGGAAAGGACCGGGATCCGGAGCCTGTCTGCCCATCTGTTTGTCCGTCCATCCATCCCTTGCAGGGAGCTGGGTGGGCCCCTGAAGGCCCGTTTGTGCCCGGAACAGAGGTTGGAAACCCCCAAGGCCTTTAGAGCATGCACATCCTCCATCTCCTCGGAGGCGGGAGAGGGGGACCCCCCCAACCCCAGGCTGGGGCCCACCCGCCCCCTTGACCCCCGCTTCCCAGAAGCTCCAGCTTGGCTGACTCTAAATGAAGCTTGTGGCCCCTTGGGGAAAGAGGAGACCCCTGACTGAGAGAGACTGGGGGGCTTTCCTGCCCTCTCCCCTCCCCTCCCCACAGCTCACCTCATGAAGTCCGGAGACTTGGCCATGGCGTGCTCGAACTCCGAGAAGGACAGCATGTGGTCATCATCCAGATCTGACTCCCTCAGGACCTGGGGGCAGGTGGGGGGGGGCTGCATGGGGGCGGCGGAGCCCCAGGGGGAGCAGAGAGTGAGGGCGGCGCAGTGTCCCTTGCAGGGTGTGGGTGGGGACACTGCCTGTCTCCAGCTCTGTCTTTGCTTAAGGCGCCATCAAGCCCAAAGCCCCAGAAGACTCTCCAGGTCTGAGGACAAAGAGCGCCCCGCCCCCTGGGGTTGCCCCCCTTCAGCTGTCTTAGTGGGGGCACAGGGGCACCCGGACCTAAGGGGACTCTGATGTCCTCTGGTGTGAGTGGCCAGGGGCCCGGTCTGCAGGGAGGGACAGACAGGTGGCTTGCTCGGGTGTGGGGGTCTAGCGTGTCCAGAAGGGATGTGATGCTGGGGAAAACTGGGGGAGGGGTGTTCGCTTCCAGCCCCCCCGCACCCCCGAGCGCCATGCAGGCACACATGCTCACATAGCGCACACAGGCACACGCATGACACACAACACACAGGGGAGCACGCAAATACACATGAACTCACACATGCACACACACACGAGCACACAAGCATGCAGACAGGTGCAGAAGACATGTGAGTGTGCAAGGCACACAGGCGTACACGCACACACAGATGTGCACGGGCACATGCTGGCGCCCATGCACACACAGGCACACACAGAGACGTTCACGGACACACACATGCACAGACAGATGGGCACAGACATAGGCATGCACACATACACATGCACCTAGATGAGCACACAGTCACATGCATGTACACACGCGTGCACACATGCACACACGTGCGCGCACACACGTGGCTCGTGAGGCCGGTCAGCAGGTCCTCCGACACGTCATCGGTGTTGAGCAGCCGGAAGACGATGCTTCTCAGGTCCTCCTCGTCGATGAAGCCGTTCTCGTTGAAATCTGCAGCGGACGGGGGAGAGCGGGCTCAGCGGGGCTGCGGATGGGGTGGGGCGGGGGGGGGCAGTTCTGAGCACCCAGCTGTGAGCAGTGCCTGAGGACCATGGTGGGGCCTAAAAGCAAACCAGCCCGATCTGCAATGAGAAGCAGAGCTGGGAGCAAGGACCTTTGCCTCAGCCAGATCCGTCCTCCCGGTCAGCATAGGGCGGGCTGCTCCGGGGGAGGGGGTGTCCAGTGGGACCCCCTGCGCCCCAAGCCTAGAGCCGGGTGCTGTGGGGCAGGGCAGGTTGCGGGGAAGCCGTGTGAAGGGACACGCATTGGCGTGCTGACGCGGAGCGCCGGAGAGCCAGTCCCTCTCAGAGTCCCTCGGTTCAGAGGACAAACCTCGGCCTCTGCTCCCACGAGAACCTCGAGAACCCCGCCGCCAGCCGGACCTGGGGTCCCCTTCCGAGCCTAAGAACATCTTCATTCTAGGACTGCCGGGCAGGGCCTTCTCCCTGCGTGCTATGGGGAATATGGGCACTAGTTTTCCAAGGGTGACCGCAGGCCTGGCCAATAGTTCCGGCTTCCACTGCCAGGCCTTGGCAGAAAGCAGCCTGGGGTGCGGCTCCTGCCTCCCCAGTGTCTCTGCAGCCCCATCGGACCCCCCAGACAGGAGCTGTTCCCCCAAGTGAGCCCTGCCTGCTCTCTGCTGCCCCTGCAGGCAGACGGGAGTCAGGGTTCGGGAGAGACAGGCACCAGGCTGGTCCTGCCCACCAGGAGCTCCCAGGAGGGGGGTCTGGGCTTCCGAGAGGCTGAGAGGAACAGATGAACTCCGGGGATTTCCAGATGTGTGCATTCATGTCTAGGGAGGAGGGGTGGGGGTGTGAGTGAGGAAGACTTCTTGGAGGAGGAGGCATGAGAGGGTCCCGGTGGGACAGGGAAGGGGGGCAGAGGAGCCCAGCTCAGGGTGAGAAGGTCCAGGAGAAAGAGTCAGAGCTTAATTTGGAGACGGAGGCTGCGAAGGGCCCTCCAGGCGGGCTGAGACGATCGTGTGCGTGTTCTTGGCAGCCGCCTCGAGCACCCAACAGTTCCCGAGCTGCTCGCCAGCCAGCTGGTGTGTAATAAACCAGGTAAGAAAAACGACGGCAACACACCACAGTCTGGGTGTTTTGTATTTCCCTGCGTTTGGTTCTTATAACACAGATGCCCAACCTGAGGCATTCGGACGGGAAATGAACACACTTCGCTTCCTTTGTCTCACTCCTGCCTTTAAACATCATCTGTCAAATCCCAAGCACACCCCCAGCCCGGTTTCTCCCGAACTCTGTGCCTAGTGCCACCTGCCTTCCTTCCCGGTCCAGTCCACTCAGCCTGTTTAAGCCCAGATGCCACCCGCTGTGCTCAGCCCGTGTCCTTCTTAACAAAGGTGCAACCCAACCCTCTAGTCTCTTGTCTTTGGGGGCACGACCAGCAGTGCCTAGGGCTTATTCAGGGATCTCTCCCGGCTCTGGGGACCGTATGCGGTGGCAGGGCTGCCAACGGGGTTGGCTGCATGCCAGGCAAGCGCCTTCCCCACTGCACTCTCTCTCGGGTCCCAGTGATTCCCCCAGTGGGTGGCACACCTCTCCTGGCTAGTGCTGGGCTGACCCGGTGGGGGCTGGGGAGTCTGTAGTCACCCTGGGTGTCATATGGGAACATTTCCTGTTTGTCCTCTTCTAGACGGTAGATTTCCAGGGGGCGCTGGGGGAAATCTTTTGTTTTCTAAAACAGGGGCAGTAGGATAAATAGCACTGTCCTCCCATTGTTCATCGGTTTGCTTGAGTGGGCACCAGTAACGTCTCTATTGTGAGACTTCTTGTTACTGTTTTTGGCATATCCGATACATCACGGGGAGCTTGCCGGGCTCTCTGAGAGGGGCAGAGGAATCGAACTGGGGTCGGCCCAGGCCAGCCTAATGCAAGGCAAACGCCCTCCCCGCTGTGCTATTGCTCCAACCAGTTTGGGATAAATAAGTTTGGGGCCCTCTGCACTAGTGGCCTGGCTTAGAGTGACCCTTGCTGTCCCTTTCCCTCATTTCTACCAGCTAACAGTTCATAGGCCCTTCCAGCTGCCCCTCCAGATTCTTGGGGGATTTCCCCCTCCACTGCCCTGCTCTCCAGCCCCCAGCAGCTCACAGAGGGTCCCCCAGCAGCCTGGGTGACCCTGGTCGTCGTGTTGCATCCCTCTCACTGCGCCTCTTCTCATCGGTCCCCACCCTCCCCGAGGACCCGACTGTGACCCCCCCCCAGACTATGACCCTAACTGTGCCAGGCGGGGCCCTTCCCCAGAGTGCTCTCTGCTCAGTACCAGGTCCTTCTTCCCACTGTCCCTGCTTTCTTGATCCCGGCCACACCTACTGTCCTGTCTGTTGGGGGACAGTTTTCCCCAACGTGCCCAACACCATTGCGCACTGGGTCCAGGCAGACACGGGGCGAAGGATGACGCAGAGGGCAGAAAAAAACACCCTCCGGGAGCAGCTATAGCTGTTCACCTCATTGCCAAATACACACAAATTTTATAGAGGGTCTCGGCATGCAGGAAGGTCCAACCACACGAAGTTCAGCACTCTTGGCCTATCACCTTTCCTGCTCTGCTTTGCCCCGGTTCAATCCCAATCAAGGCTAGATGCTGTCGGTAGGATGACCTCCAAAGCATACATGACAGTTTCCGTGTCTTGGGCCCATGACTAGGAGTCGAGTGAGGCACAAGGCTGGACACCTGGTGCTGACCCCCTGTTCTTGCCAATTTCGCCCCATACTCCCTTCTGTGGAGCCTCCCTTTGGGCCGCCTTGCAAGGTTGGGTCTTATATGCCCCAGTGCCTCTAGCCATGCTCCACACCTGTCCGCTTCACTTATTAGCTCCTTTATTCCCCTCGGCTAAAAGCAAATTCCCCAGGCCAGAGACGTTTCTATGGCACCCATGGCTCCTAGCGCAGGAAATAAGGTAGGTAGTCAATGCATCTTGGCTTTATGGTATTCTTTTTTTTTTTTTTTTGCTTTTTTTTTGGGTCACACCCGGCGATGCAAAGGGGTTACTCCTGGCTCTGCACTCAGAAATCACTCCTGGCGGTGCTCAGGGGACCATATGGGATGCTGGGAATCGAACCTGGGTCTGCTGCGTGCAAGGCAAACGCCCTACCGGCTGTGCTATCTCTCCAGCGCCAAGCTTTATGGTATTCTACTTTGTATATCAGTGAACAGATGAGCCGCCCAAAGTCACGCATCAGTAAGAGATGGTGACAAGAGTGACAGCTGCGGTCAGTCCGTGGGCAGCCTCTGTTCCCAGGCCCACCAGTCCCACGTGACTGCCTTCATTGTCACTCAATGCCTACGTGCTACCCGGTTATAGCGCCGCTGAAATGAGTACTACATTTCCCAGCTTCCCTTTCTGCTGGGCATGGCCACATGACTCCGTTCTGCCCAGTGAGATGTAAGTAGCAGAGGCCCATGAAAGCTTCTGGAAATGTCTTTAAAGGGAAAGTGTATGGTTGGAATGATCACTCTGGACAAGAACTGAGTGCTCGTCCAGCTGAAAGTCGGTAAAGGGACATACATGAGAACCTCTCAGTTCCTGGATTGCAACCATAATGCCCAAGGGGCGGGGAAGAGAGATAGACAGAGAGAGATGGAGACAGAGAGACAGAGAGGCAGAGAGACAGAGAGAGAGAGGCAGAGACGGAGAGTGATGAGAGAGAGAGAGAGAGAGAGAGAGAGAGAGAGAGAGAGAGAGGTGTCTGCCATAGAGGTAGGCAGGGGCGGGGGGACGGGGCAGAAGGGAAACTGGGGACCTCGTGGTGGGAAATATACACTGGTGAAGGGACAGGTGTCGGAACACTGCATGACTGTTGGGTTGCGTTTCAGTCATGCAATGTTCCAACACCTGTCCCTTCACAGTGTATATTTCTCATTATACTTTATAATTAATGGTTACAAATTACCATTTATAACTCATGGTAATTCAATAAAAATTTAAAATAAATAAATAAATACAGGGAACGTGTAACCCTTGTGGCAGGAGAGTGCCTCTCCTCCCGCAGCTGTGTGGAGTACGATGATGCAGCAGATGGGGCCGAGTTCCGGACACTGTGTGTCCGCAGCACCGCTGCCCCTGAACATGGCCTGTTGGAGGAAGAACTGCAGCTTCCAGTGACCTGGACGTTGTCTGGAGAAGCATACTTGGGCTTCTTTTTTTATTTGCCACCAGGTTTAATCCTGATTTGTTAACTGAGCCCCAGCTTCTCTTCAGGAAATGGAGTGTGCTAGTACGCCCCAAGGAGGGGCCCTGCAGGTCCTACAGGCAGCTGGCGTGGGGTTTCAGGGTTAGAAGACTGAGCAGAGGCCGCTGTTATTAGAAGGGCTGGGGCGATAGTCAGAGGGGAGGATGCTCGCTTTGCATGTGGCCCACCTGGGTTTGCTCCCCTGCATCCCAGATGGTCCCACCAGGAGAGATCCCTGAGTGCCCTGAAGTGCCACTGGGTGTGGTACTTCAAACGAACCAAAACCCTTCTTATTACATCCGGTACAGGATCTACCCTGCACCCCTTGGTGACTGTTAAATGCCAAGACTGCAAACTCCAAAGCTTGGGTTTTGCCTCAGAGGGTGGAGTGCATGGTCCAACGAGGCCCCAAGTTCACAGCCCCAATCACAGCCCTGAGCACCACTGGGTGCACCTGAATAGCCCCGCCTCGCCAGGTCTGAACACTCAACCGTCAGGCCCACCCGGCCCTTCTGGATCAAGGCAGCAGGTCAAAGGGCTGGAGCACAGGCTTTGCACGTAGGGGGTCTGGCCTCCATCCTTAGCATTGCTGGGGAGCGCCCCCTGCCCCAAAGGCAAGCCTTAGAATTGGTGCGACGTTTGGAGAATGAGAGCTGGGCCTAGATGGGCCGGGAGGGGGTGGGGGGACAGAACAGCGTGGCTGATGTCCTAGGATCCTTCCGTGGTACTGACCAGGCCTTGGGGTCTCTGCCCCAAGGTGGGAGGGGAAGTCTGAGGTGCCAACGGTCCAGAGGGTGCTTCTTTCCCTGTCCAGTGTTTCTCAGCACTACCGCGTGGAGGCTGGGACCGGAGGCCTTGCCCCAGCTGCCCCGTCGGCTCGGCTCAGGGGCGGTGGCAGGCAGAGGGACACTGCCGAGGAGACGCTGAGCCTCTCCCAGAGACCCCGCAGTGTCCCCGGGCGTCCCAGTGGCCCTGTTCCCATGTGCGGAGACTGCAGTAAAGTGACACGACTTTGGTCCCAAGCCATCTGGACACAGAGCGACTTGCTGGAGTGAAATGCAGTTCTGGGCAGCTGGTGTCCTTTGGGGGTGCGAGGGCAGAGCAGCCTGGGAACGGGCCGGGGTGGGGAGTGCTGGGCTCTGGCCAGTCCCGGAGGCCTCAGCATGCTCAGGCCTGCGGCTCAGGCTTCTGGGGGTGAGGGGAGCACGGGGCGCTTCTCTTGCGGCTTCCCAACAGCGACTCTCGGGTCTGTCCTCAGGTCCCCTCAGACACCCCAACCACCGTCATCTCCTCAGCTCTCCTCACTGCCATAGAATTCAGCCGTTGGGTTGAGTGAGGTCAGCCGTGCCCTCACCTCCTGTAACTGCACCAGCCTCCGGGCACCTGCCTGAGGGGCTTACGGGAGGGAGGAGGAGGACAGGAAGGCGGTTCAGGTCTCTGACAAGGGTCCAGTCTCCCCTGAGGTTGTGGGGAGACAGGGATGGAGGTCATGAGTGTCCTGCCAAGCGGAAGCTGAGCCCAAGTGCATCTGACAACACTGGATCCTTGGGCCGTGGCCTGACCCCTTCCTTCTCCCAAGCAGTCTCCCTTGCGATTCTTGTTTGGGGTCACTGCATTCAGCCTCCAAGCCCAGCTTCCCAGGCTCCTCTGCATCTGTGCGTGTACATGGGGCCACATGAGGCAGAGAGGTGCTGGGTGAGGCTTCTGAGAAAAATTTGTTATAGAACAGACTTGATCTGTGCTGTCGATATATGCAGTGTCCTGACCTCGCCTCCATTTCTTCTCCTTCCTGCCAGGAGTTCAGAGGAAATGCCTGCAAGCAGAGAAACCCTTTGGAGAACCGTCATCTCACAGCAAAGAGGCTTGAAGAACGGGGTCTCTGGGTTCCTTCCTGGAGCCCACCCATCTCCAGACTCCAGAATTTTAAAAACTACGGTCCTTGGTCCAGGGCGATGGTTCTAAGAGTGGGAGCACAGTCTTCGTGTGCAGTAGATCCAAGTCCCATCCTCAGCACTGCATGGTCTTAGAAATACTGTGGAGTGACCTCCGAGCACAGAGCAGGGAATAAGTAGGTCACAACAACTGAGAGGTGTGCCCCCCTACCAATCTCCAAACAACCAAACAAACAAGGTATGCGTGCACATAGCAGAGTGGAATCCAGACTCAAGTGGCAGGTTTGAGTAGAGGGTCTCAAACTTGAAGGAACTTGGGGGCTCCCCAGGGGGAGCTTTGCCAAAACCCAGAAACCAGGCCAGACACAATGCCATCATTCCAGGGGAGCCCCCATCTCCCCCCCACCCCCACCCCCTCTCATGCCCACAATATGGGCTCTGTCTCACACTCAGGAGACTAGCAGACGAGACTCATGTGCTTCAAAGTAAGAGATTTTACCGGAAGGTGTTTGCTCGACTGGAGAGACGCAAACCAGGCCCTCCAGGGACCCTGTTCTGTCTTGGAAGAGGAACGGACGTTTGCTATCCCTGACTGCCCAAATGTAATCTAGTTCAAAATCTTTGCCAGTGGCACATACATCCCTCAGAATAAATTCTGACCTGGAAGTTTCCAGAGCCACACCTGGTGGTGCTCAGGGGCTACTCCCAGCTCATTACCTGGGAGTCCCTTAGCCATGCTCGGGGGATCCTGTGGTGCCAGGAATCGAACCCCAAACTCCTGCACGGAAAGCAAATACTCTGGCTGTTTGAGCTGTTTCCTGCCAGGTAGGGGATGTTGCTTCCTTGTCTGAGTCTTCCCAATAATTTTGGTGGGTGGCTCTGGCGTTAGCAGCTCATTTGTGTTCCCTGTCTGAATGTCCTGCCACAGGGAGGGTTGGCTTCTGGTAGCAACCATCTGACTTCATGGCATCAGACCTCTGCAGTGGGGGAGCCAAGACTCCAGAGCACCCTGGGTGCTTCTGAGACATTAAGGTGCCAACAAGTCACTGTGCTCCCATTCAGATGCAGATTCTGTCTTGTTGAGGACTGAGGGCTGAGATTCTGCCTTCCTCACAAATCTCCTGATAGTGCAGATGGATTCGCTGCAAAGAAACGCTGACACAAAGGCCCCCCTTGGAGAGATCCTGTGTCAGCTCCGAAGCTCCATCCTTGAACTGGGACAAAGGAGGATCTGCAGGAGCTTCTCCAACATGCCTGCCCTTTCCCTTCCTTCCTTTTCCTCCCCTTCTTCCTTCGCACCATCACGATCCTCTCTTTACCTAGCAGGTTTCCTGGCCAGGCCCCAGACTCAGGGAGTGGCGTGCTCTGGTCCTAATTTTGCTGCTAGTCCTAGAGCATAACAAGACTTTGAAGCCCGAAGAGAAGTCTGGTTGTTTGCGTCCATCTCAGGAAGCCATAGAGTTTATGAATCCCGAGGAGGTATCCATTCCAAAGGCTTTGTGATTTTTGCTTGCTTTTTTCCCCCCTTCCTTTTGGGTCACACCCGGTGATGCTCAGGGCTTACTCCTAGCTCTGCATTCAGAAATCACTCCTGGCAGAGTTTGGGGGACCATATGGGCTGCCAGGGATCCAGCCCAGGTCGTCCGTGTGCAAGGCAAATGCCCTACCCACTGTACTATTGCTCCGGCCCCGATTTTTGCTTTTGTGTTTGAGCTCAAGGTGGAAGAGATTTGCATGGGTAGATGGGGGACTGGGGGTGGGGAGGACAGTGGGGACAGGTAGCAAGGGCTGGTCCTCATCAATCTCAGGCCCCTGCAGTGTCCCGACTTGGGAAGGAAGGCAGATCTCCTGAGCTGGACATACTTTTGCTCAGGTGCCTTGAAGCCTCGGGAGATCCTGCTACTCTTCTAGGACCCTGAAGTGCTTCGGGATTTCTTTTTTGTTTGTTTGCTTTTTTTTTTTGAAGGGTCACTTCCAGCCGTACTCAGGGGTTACTCCTGGTGCTGTACTCAGGGCTTACTTCTGGTGGTGCTTGGGGGACCAAATGGGATGCCAGGGATGGAATCCGGGTTGGCTGGCTGCATGTAAGCATTGGAAACACCCTGGGCCTCCAGGAAATAGTTAGAGTGAAGCAGGAAGAAGACAAGTAGGGAGACGGAGCTGACAAGTCAACCAAACTCAATTGTCACCGGGGCGAGGCGCATGTGAACTGGTTCCCCCAAGGTTCCCCTCCCGTTAGGAGCCAGTTAGCTGCGTGTTCCAGTCGGTCCATGGAATGGGCTTAACTGCACATGGGATCTGCATTCCTCTCTCTCACGGCAGAGGTGAGTCTGAAGTCATCAGAATCTAGCCCCTTCTGACCTTCCCCTTCCTTTCATTTTTTTTGGGGGTTTTGTTTTTAATCCATGGCAATTGAGAAGCGTGATACAAACCCATGTACCCAAGTCAGCCCATCCTACAGAGGCGTTGCCGTGGGTGGAGCCCAGAGTGAGGCCGTCTCTCTCCCCCTGGCACCTACCGTAGATGCGGAAGGCGTACTCGATCTTCAGGCTGGGGCAGGCCTGCTCGCTGAACACCGACGCCATGCCCAGCACGTCCTCAAAGGAGAATAGGCCATCGTGGGAGAACACGCTGCAGATCCGGTCTCTGAAAGGGTTAACCTGCGGGTGGGAAGCGGGGGGGAGGGGGGCGAGCAGGAAGGAACCCCATCAATGTCAGGTACTTGCCTCATTCTCTTTTTGTTTGTTTGTTCTTTTTTTGGGCTCACACCAGGCAGTGCTCAGGGCTTACTCCTGGCTCTGCTCTCAGGAATTACTCCCAAGCTTGGGGGGCCATATGGGATGCCGGGGATTGAACCTGGGTCAGCTGTGTGCAAAACAAACGCCCACCCACTTTCCTATAGCTCCATCCCCACCTGCCTCATTGTTCTTTTCCAAAGCACATGCCCTGGATCTCAGATGAAAAGAATAGTGAGAACCTCAACTATTGGAGTGAACTCTCCTCCTGCACTGGCAAAGGATCATCTGGGGTCCTGTTAGTCCTTTTTATACAGCTTCCCATTTTTTTTTCTTTTTGGGTCACACCCAGCCCATGCTCAGGAATTACTTGCTGGCAGTGCTCGGAGGACCATATGGGATGCTGGGAATCGAACCTGGGTCAGCTGTTTGAAGGCAAATGCCCTACCCGCTGTGCTATTGATAAGTCCCCTCATTTTTATCTATGTAGCACCATCACGATCATCACGTTGTTTGTCGATTGCCTCGAGCAGGCACCAGTAACATCTCCTTCTTCCCAGCCCTGAAATTTTAAAAGAGCCATTTCAATGCTCTTTCAGGGTTAGGAGAATGAGATCCGTCATTGTTACTGGTATTTGGCATATTGAGTACGACATGGGAAGTTTGCCAGACTCTGCCGTGCGGGCAGGATACTTTTGGTAGCCTGCCAGGTTATCCAAAGGAAAAATGACATAATAAGATGTCGCGTGGCCATGAATGCGGCCGCGTGCTTCTGGGAGCTGGGTTTTATAGTCTCTGCATCTTGGCCATTGATGGGACCAACCTGACGCTGGCGGCAGCTGGTGGGGTGACGCCTACCTACTGGAAGATAGATATCAACTATGTATAAAAGTTGAAAAATAACGCCCCCCAAGTGCAAAGAATGGAATAAAAATGCCAAGAATGGCATAAAAATTGTATGTAATGCACACCCAGAGCAACCCCTTCTTCCCCACCCACATACTGATGTGAAGGTCAGATCTGGGTTTCAGCCCTGGCTCTGCACTTTGCCAGAGAGCGACTTTAGACACATTCTAAGATCACATATGTACATACATGTGTTCCAGGATAATCCAAGCTGCTGTTAGAAGGTGCTCACCACCACCACCCCATCCCCGGTTCTTTCTCCAAACTCCAGCCCCCACCCAGGAAGACAGAGGTTGACGGTCTCAGTGATGCTGCTGAGGTCATCTACTGGGAAGGTTCTGGATCACCAGGCAGAACTAAGTGGCTTTACAGAGTACTTTGCCAAAATGCCAATCAGTTCATTCTTCCAATGAAGCAGATCAAGCAAGATTCCTTCCTGACAGCAAACTACAATGGCAGGTAAGGCTTACGCTGCATCGGCAAGAAAATAAGCAAAGTCAGGGAATAGAGTCTCTCTCGGAGGCAGCAGGGGCAATCCAGAAGAGAGCGCCTGGGGGCCCCACACTGAGCTTCCCTTCCCTGGTGTCTCCCCAAGGGCCTTGCTGGCAGAGATAGAGGGCAGGGGCTGGCTGCCAGGAAGCCCACCCACACTGCCTGAGACACCTGTCATGTGACTGCTATCCACACAGGTGCCTGGTCTCACTGGAGAAGGGGGCAGTGGGTTGCTAGTGGTGACCATAGTTTGTGGAGCACGAAATGGTAAGCGCAGGAAGTAATTGTGCAGAAGGGGAAATGAGGGGTTTTTTTTTTAGCTTCTTTTGTCACCATATCTGGAGATACTCAAGGATCACTCCTTCCGGGTTCTGGGGACCATATGAGGTGTCAGGGATCAAGCCTGGTCAGATGCATGCAAGGCAAGTGCCTCATCCACTGCTCTTTCTCCCTCTCTCTCTCCCCCTCCCTCTCTCCCTTTCCATCTCCCTCTCTCTCCCTCTTTCTCTCCCTCTCTTTTCTCGTCCTCTCTCCTTCTCTCGATCTTTCCCTCTCTCCATCTCTCCCTCTCTCTCTTACCCGCCTCTCTCCCTCTCTTTCCCTCTCCCTCTCTCTCCATCTCTCTCTCCCTCTTTCTTCCCACCCCCCGCCCCCCGGTCCTGAGGCAGTGAGAATGTCGAAGAGGTAGAGAAAGATGCAGCAAGACAAATCTCTTCCTCCAGAAGGTGCGCTGCAGTAGACCTCTGGGTTTCTCCTGTGCTTTGTTTTGGTTCTACTTCAATAGCGAAGCACATGAAGAATCGTGTTTCTCTGTGTTGCTAAGGGCAGGGGCACTACGGCCCAGGCCTACAGTATTGCTTTAGTAAAAACATCATTTATGTGGAAATCGCTGCTCCTCATCACAGAGCAGCACAGGGCGAGAGGGACACTGGGTCAGGTGCAGGACAACATGAAAACCACATTCCCGGCGGGGTCGTCCGCGGGTTCCTGGGCTTCAACAGCTCAATCCAGGGGCACAGGGACGTGGCTCTGCCTTGCAGTCTGAGGCCAAAGCTCAATCCCCAGCGCGGCCTCAATGTGGAGTCAGATGGCCGCAGGACTGAGACTGGGGGACTGGGGGAGCCACGCTGAGGTGTGTGATCACCAGCGCCTCATAGTCAAGCGAGCACTGCAACCAAAATGTGGGAGCCCCAAAACCAAGCGAGCACCTGGTTATCATGAGAATAACAACAAAAAGGGAAATGACAAAGTCCAAGATGCTGAACTCCCAAGTATATGCAGTGCCGTGGGGTTGGGGACAGTGCAATGCTGGGGCTGGGGACGGGGTGGAACCGCAAAGGTGCCGAGCCAGGAGTAGCCCCAGAGCACCCACTACCCCAACAACAAACAATCCCCACACGCATTAGAGTGCCACAGTGTGTGTCCTGCCCCCCAGTTGGGTGTGGTCCCCAAACTGAACAAGGCAGCAACAACACGACAACTTGGAGACAACATCCAAGGCAGTATCTACCTCGGTGGGGTGGGGGGAGAGGCTGTGGGGTGCGGGGGAGCTAGCAGAGAGCCTCAGAATCTTCCCAGGAGGGTGGGTGACTTTTTCCTCTTCCCCTTGTAGGCCTGGTAGAACTCGCTGAGTTTGACTAACTGTCGGAGACAGGCTGAGGCCCACAAAGAGACACAACTCAGCATGGAAGACGCTTGCTTTGTATGGCCAACCAGGTTCTATTCCAGGCACCCCGAGGGCTCGTGGAGTGACCCCAGAGCAATGAGCCAGGACTAGGCCCTGAGCACTGCCCAATATTGCCCCAAACCAAAACCCAATAACCAAACTCTCTCTATATATATATGATTTATTATAAAAAATTAAAAAAAATTAAAATGCATATGGGTCAGAGTGCTAGTACGGCTGGTAGGGTACTGGACTTGGGTTCAGTCATACCAGTGATTGGTCCTGTATGGGCCCCGAAACACTGCCTCTGAGCACAGAGCCCCAAGTACCCTTAGATGCAGTTTCCACTCCCTCACCAAAAAAAGTGACTATGCAAATCTTTTGAATCACAAGGTTTTCTAGTTATCTCAACAGAGCACTTCCAATAACCATCCGACTAAAAGGGAAATTAAAGATGTTTTTGTACAAAAAGACGAGTCCATGCAATTTGTTGAGCTTCTTAGGATGACAAGTGACTGTTGGCAGTTTTGCTTCCTTGCAGACAGCCACCAAAAATGGACTCAAATTCTTCTGACCACTCTTCGAGGTGACAGTGAGTTGTTTTGACAACGAGTGAGAAAGTCCATGCTTTCCCAAAGAAACCGCGCTTTGGGGAAAAATAAGTGGAAAAGGAAATGTGTTTGTTGTTGACAATGTGGTGAACCTTATAAAAATCACACCTGGAAATATTACATAAAGATTTCTCCAATCTGTTTGAAAAATCATCCAAATGAAGAGTGACCAGGGCTTCTGAGTCCATTTGTAGAAAATACACAAAAGACAACATTTTCCAATTAGCTTTAGAAGAGTCACTGATTGGCAGAAAGGAAGATGGACATTCACTTGCTTAATTTCAACAAAAAGCCTGTAATTGGTAGATGGGGCTGAAAATGAGTCTCATAATTTAATACATGCAACTGATGGTTCATTTTTCCACTTTGGATCAGCTCTAACAGCTGTTAAAAATAAACCCACTTGAACCAGACCTTCCAACTGACTTCATCTTGGAGTGCTCAAGCAAGATTTCAAAGAATACCCATGTGGGTCCTGCAGCATCGCTTGCTCTTTACCTGTTGTTATTAACTATCAGCAGAAGAACACGAAAGAAATTTTCGTCATTTTCTACTGTGCAACATAAGAGACATTTGCTTTTCAAATACTTAATGTATTCTTGAGCTCTGAGGGGTTTTCACTTTGCATGTTTGATTTGTAACACGGTAGGTCTGGACACGTTACTGGTGCCCGCTCGAGCAAATCAATGAACAACGGGAGGACAGTGCTAACAGTGCAGGTTTGGAGGGGAGGGGCGCACAGTTTATAAAGGAGTATCTGTGCGTTCCAGGTGCACAAGCCATTTTCCTGATGCAGGAGGTTCGAGCTGGCTGATGGAGACTAATCACTAATCACAGACGTGGGCAGGGAGCCTGGTGGGTGGAGAGCGCATGCCCAGAGAGGAGACTCGGCCTCAGACCGGGTCTCCTGAGTTGCCTGCCCCTCCCCACTCAGGTGCCCTGAGCCAAAGGATGAAGCCAAGTATGGGCCCATTAAAATACGGAAGTGGGGGCTGGAGCGATAATACAGGGGGTAGGTCAGGGCCGTGCATGTGGCGAACCCCAATTTGATCCCTGGCACCGTACGGTCCCCTGGCATTCCCAGGTGTAATCCCGGAGGTCCCCTGCACTGCTGGGTGTGGTCCAGATGATCCTGGCCGGCACCACATCCTTAGGCTCACCGTGAACCAGTGAGCACAGCTCGAGAGATTTTGAAAATAAAATAAAACAAAACAAATCCAATAAAGAAGCGGCGCCGTCTTAAAAAAGCT